GCGTAACTAGGGATCTTGCAGGGAGGTGCACAGGCAATAATTTGCAGAACCAAAAAGAAAAAAAAGGTAACCAAAAGAAAGCAGAACCAAAAAAAAAAAAGAAAGAAAGAAAGAAAAAGGAGATGGTTGAGCGGACCTTAAGCTTTTATGGGGGGGGGTGCACGTGAACCCAGTGCTCCCCCCTGGCTACGGCCCTGACCCTACCAACCTATGTAGTTCTTAAATTCATCTTTATATTTTAATCTCATGTTCTTAAGAAAAATAATAAATGAGCACTCTACAAGGTCTCAAGCTCTTACAACAATAAAAGAAAATAAGTAAACGATAATAAGCTATATACTCATATGACCCGTATCTGCTCGGGAGCGTGCTCTTAAAAAAACCTTTGGGAAAATGGCGTGAGCAGGGCCTTACGAATCCTTACGGCCCTGCTCGAAACCTGCGACCGTATTGACATAATTTGCAACTTTTCAAATATCTTTTTTATTTAGGGTCATATGAAAAAATGCTTATTGACTGAGTTAGGTCGGGCCGTGCGGGAAAATATTTGGCTCTCGGTCTTTTGTACGGACTTTGCTGCGCTCGGTCCGTACGGCATCACCTCGAGCCAAATATTTTCCCGTATGGCCCGACCTACTCAGTCAATAAGTACATAAACTGCCATAAGAATATACAAAATAAAATAAAATGCTATAAAATATTAAAATTTTTCATACGAACTACATCTGGGATCTCAGTGACATATTTTGCATATCCTCACACGTGAACATATTGATGACATCTTTTCCAATGTTTTTAACAAGTGTTTGTGGATGTGTCTATATACTAAAAAGAAAATTACATTTTGGCTTGAAGATATGAAGTTTATATTCTTGTGTTGAAAAATATTTCACCACTCGAAGATCAACTTAATATCTTTGCGCCATCGTGTAATGTCCTCTATAATATATAATAATAAAGATTAATATTTATTTATTATCATAGATTATTAAAGATATGTCTTTAGTTTGTATTTGAATATTCCTATTGAAGGTTATTTGTATATGTAATAGGACTCCATGCTGTCCAATTAAGAAATAATTGGACGAGGAAAATTCCGAGGACTGACAAAATTGGATGGGGCCATAGGCAGAGTCCAATTTGGCAGTCAGAGGAATTTTTYGAGTCTAATTATTTCTTGATTGGGAACAATGAAATCCCATTACCTGTTAATTATATAGCTGCGTAATTAATYCCATATCAACAAGACCTATCCAATTAAGAAAATAATTGGACAGTTACCTATATGGGATTAATGAGAAGCTGTATAATTAATATAATGATAATAGTAATAATAATAACGATGATGATGATGATGATAATACTTTATTGAGAGCATTCTGCAGTCTCAATGCTCTTACAAGAATAAATTAACTGAAATGAAGCAGAAACAGAACATTAAGTGTTTTGAGAATCCCAACTGCCAAGAAGGCAAACCAGTTGGCTATTTACAAGCATGGTCGAGAGACTGAATTGGAACTAATCAGGAATCAGCTAGTGCCTACAGTTGGACTCGAACCCAGCACCAACTGATTACAAGGATGCTATGACCACTCAACCATCCCCCCTTCCCTAAWTAGGAGATTTGCCATGGAAAACATAATCAATAGTCCCTAGTATCCATGGGGTGCTATGTCTTGTTTTTGACGACATCGTGCGTCTGATCTGTATGGCATCCACGGTCTAATCAGATTCAATCTAGTATAACGAAAGTTTGTTTCACGGTTCAAGTAAAATTTTCTATCAGTTGTCAATCAATCAATCAATCAACCTTGTCTATAAACCCCTCAATAGAGATAGCCTTAAGATAGCCTTCCCCTCAGTCTGCCTTCTTGCTATGAAAATTGGCTATAATGATAGAACATGACATTTCTAGGCTACAAGGTCTTGAGAAAACGATTTGAGTGTTAAAAAAATCACAACCTTCCATACATTGGCTCAYTGGTCCCACCACACAAAAAGCATTACGTAAGTTTTATTCAAATTAGACTCTCGTAGTCTCGGTTTACATGTGGATGCTAATTTGTTTGACAAGTGAAACGGTCAATGGAGTGTTGTAAATATATTCTTCGACAGACCTCATGACTTTTTTCGCAACCTTCTTTAAATATGGTTCTCTTGTACCGAAGCTCATGGACATCTCAGCTGTTTATCTTTATTTTCGTTAAATTACTCGTTCCTATTCACAGTAATTACAGAGCACATCGTGTGTCACACAGTTGTTTCATGGTTCAGAATCACTCTCGGCAAGTGATTGGGTGGTTATGACTGAATCAAAGCATATAGAACCCCAAGGAAAAAGAATGACGATGACTTACAACCTTATAAACAAATCCAAGTCCATAGCTGTGCTTATACTAGGAAACAAAAAAGCTGATATTGTTCAAAAACTTGCTGAAGAAAGTAATCTAGTAAATGTGAAACAAATGCCAATAGTTGGAATCAGTCCAGAAAGCAATAACCTAATTTGGTACATTGATAATAAAGCTATGAAAAACTATTAATTAAGTTGCTTTCACAAGAAATTGTTAATGATTACTAATGCTTAAGGTATCTTATATGAGTTAAAGAATAGGTTTATTGATTTTTAAACAATTAAAATAAAAATAAATTAAAATAATCATTCTTGCTCTGGCACTTGTAAGTCGTGTTTAAACCTACCCAAAGCAAAGTAGATCCTTGGGGTATCACTCACTGCAATCTGATAGAATTTCTCATCTGACCTTGACAAGGCACTTTTAGGAAGGACAAGCAAGGACCTATAGACAATATTAACAAAATATATGAAACGTGCTCTACATGACCTACATCATTCATCGAGATTGAAAAGGAGAGGGGGTTCAATTATTTAACCTTATTTAATTTGGCACTATACATGAGAATGTACAAGATGAAAATTCTAGTCTTCAGTTTAAGTGTAAGCCATTATTAGAGCCCTCGCAGCATGTCCAAATTCAGCTCAATTTGGAGGACATAACAATAAGTTACTAATTCTCAGGAGATTGAAATTCTTTTGTTTTRTCCTCCAAATTGAGCTGCTTTGACGTCACATGCAAGTGGCTTATAAATGGATTGCATATAAATTTTGCCTGAACAATAATCTAGTACCTACCCCTCCCCTCCTAACTGATAACGGTGACATTTCTCGAAGTAGACTAGCGTAAACACAAGGCTAAAAGGTCTCGAAATAACGGATTATCTATCAGAAAACTTTGGTAATTCGTTCAGATCTCATGATCGCACTTCTTCGCGACCTTCTTCTACAATGGTTCTCTTGTACCGAAGCTCGTGGACATCTCAGCTGTTTGTCTTTATTTTTGTTATATTACTCGTCCCTATTCACAGTAATTACAGAGCGCATCATGTGTCGCACAGTGGAATTCGAAGTGCCAATGTTGTTTCGCCTGAAGATTTTACCGACGAACTGTTCGAAAAGTATGGCAGTAATGGCTCTTTGGATGATACACAGTTAAAAACAATGTTCGAGAACTTGGGGATCGGTAAAGATAACGAAAAAACTGCTAACAATCACGCTGGTGTCAATGAAAGGGTAAGTTCCACGCCACTGGGAAATACAAAATTGAATGTAGTGGTAGTTTGGGTGGGTGAAAAGTGTCCTCAATTGCTGGTTTCCAATCATTCCCAAGCACGCCTAGACACTCGGCAACATTTGGCCCTCTAGACATCCAGGGCTTTCTTACTAAAGATAACTTAATTCAGTGAATTATTACTTGTCACTCTAATTATTTCTACTTCATGTGTAAAATCTATTGTTTATTATATGGTAGAGTGCATTCCATATATCCACGAAGAAGTTAACTAACAAAATTGTAGAAAATGTACTGAGGTCCGTTACTGCATGGGCTTACTAATTTGTTCAAATTTGTGCAATTTCTTACAAACTTTTTTAGTAATTAGGGACGGATCCAGGAATTTCAGAAAGGGGGTGACTATTACGAAGGTTTTATCGAGGAAAAGGGTGGTGACTGTTACTAACGATATACTAAGAAATTTGAGCAAAAGGGGGGGGTGATCAAATATGTATGTATTTATGGAGTTGTTTGTAATTATGGTTTAAAGATTTTAATGTACACCACTAAACCACACTAAATACCTATATAGTTATATTTTTATATGTTTTATCAGATTTTTTTGTAAAGCGCCGTTGAACCATGGGGATATTAGCGCTATATAAATCATAATTATTACATTATAATTTATTATATATCATGACTAGTTACCCCTTGTGCGCCCCTGCTAATATATATGGTATGCTAATAAACTTGCTATTGTGTACTTGTCTTCTTCATGCTCTGGGTCAATTCCCAAAACAGTACATTATAAAATATCCTTAAATCACGTAAAAAGCTTGCGGCACGAACGCGGTCCGGAATGGGATGTTCAGGATTACTCATTTAAACTAATGAGCTCATGTAAAACTATGCCATCCAATGGATCAGAGCAATTATTAGAGTAGATAGATAAGAGCAAAGATATTAGAGTTAATAATTTTGTGATTTGCTTGATCGATGCTGATCAATTAATCAATTATTCAGAAACATGTATAAGCCTCTTTTTTCTTGCTAATAGGGTTGTCTGTTTTAGCGGGATTGGTTCAAGATATGGCAAAGTAGATGCCCATAATTAGCTTGTATGAACTTCAAAAATAGTGTTTAAGTAAAAAGGTCTGGTGATTTTGAGGCAAGAAAGATTTAGCACCCTGCATATTAATACATTCCAACTTTGATAATCGAGGTGTGCTACAATGGTGGCATATTATGTGCTAACCCAAACTTGCTTGAATGACTACGAACAAGAGAGTATAAATATGTTCTCTTGCCATGAAACAAAGTTAAGCTTAAGTTGGTTTAAGTTAAGCTTGATCAAATCAGGGTTATATTATATCGAAAACATTAATAAACAGGCAACTTATCTATTAGTTACAGAACCGTTAAAGAGGAAAAATAAGAATTTTTGGTTAAGCTCAATCAGCATTGCCTAGGCCTTTAGGCTCGCAATAGACGACTTGCACTAACAGGTCACGCGACCCCATCCCCCTTAAAAMGAGCAAATGAGTCCAAATGAACTCCATAAATGAAAACGGCACCTTAAATTTAGTAAGAGGACGAAGTTTCAGCTCGAAATGTTGACTATAGAAGAAATGACATTAAATATAAAATCAAATATTTTACAAGGATTTGTATGGGAAAAGTGTTGGCTGTTGGGGTTCGTTCCGCCGGTTGTGGATTACCCGGGTCATCCAGTGCATTCTGCCATACAAATCCTTATGAAACATTTGATTATTATGAGCTGAAACTCTGCCTCCTCACTAATTACTAATGCCGAAATGCTCTTTTCATTTGTTTTTTTATTTTGACAAAACTGCTCGTTTTAAGGGAGGTAGGTCACTTGACCTGTTATTGCAAGTCGTCAATTATTGCAAGACACATTTCAGGATATTCTTCGTAATAGAATTTTCCATCAATGATGATGAYGACGACGACGACAGTGATGATGATGATGATAATACTTAGTTTACTAATACTAATGATAGTTGCTAATATGAATAAAAACACAGGCCGAGGCCCRTTTTTCCCTATCCAGACCCATTTTAGGACGGTAAATAACTTTTTTTCTTCGTTATCCTACGGGATACCGGACCGTTCATGCTGCCAATCAGAACGCACGATTTGTAGAATTCCGGACTGGAAAAATCAAATGACTTGATCATGTTTTAAATGTTTTGTTTCAGTGCTTTTCAAGTTCCAGTCTTCTAGATGTATTTTCAGTCAACAAGACAGCATTGAATAAACAAAACTTCAACAAGATTTGTCCAGCAATTGTACAACAGATAGATAGTCAGAAATGTAGTGAT